CATTTTATTCATTTTTGTTTGTGTTTGGTTGAATTGTTTTGGTTCATAAGTTATGCTTCCTTCTTTCTTTCATCTTTTTGGTGCTTTTCTTGTGCTTGTTAAAAATTAAGCTAATGTCAATCTTCCAGACTGGTTAGAAAACTGAGTATCTTCATATAAAAACTGTAGCAGAAATATCTATGCCATATATAACTAAGTATTTGAGGTTAAACTGAATGCCAATCGGCTTCGTACATTGTTTTTATCAGAGGATAGAGATGTGCACACAATCATAAAAATGTACTATTTTATAAAGCATTTTATGAAGATTGCACCATCGTGTGATGGCACAGCCCTGTTAGGCCTTGGTTAAACGAGGAACATGTTTCCTTGAATGTTTCCAAAGGTGGCAAAACTGTCAGGAAACATCGGGAAACATTGCTTCCTTGCATCTTGGAAGCATTAAATGTTTCTGGATCACAGCAGAAACATTTTTTGCGTCTTGGAAGCAAAATTTGTTGCATGTTTCACATGTGGCTAAATTGGAAAACATTGAGGAAACATGAACGTGGTAAACAYGTTTCTGGAAACATGTTTCCTTGCTTAGCCAGGGCCTTAGAATATAGGAACGCAATTGTTTTAGATGAGAAAGAGTTCAATTCCCAAGTTTAAAGTGATTCTATTGTTTTGCCATTTAACATGACTGTCGGCACGTGATGGTGCAAAACCCCTATATAAACACCCGGGGAGCTGTAGAGCACAAGAAAAGTAAGAAAAAGACTTTGCTATGATCATAAAAGCTACCTTCTCATGCTTTCAGCATCTATGAGTATTAATAAGACTATTAAAAAAAATTGCTACAAACAGCTATCATTTATAGTATTATTTTTTAAATTCATAGCTAATTATTATTTATATTTATGAAGTGAAATGGGATTCAAAATTATTGGGCTAAATTATAGAGAATATAGGGTGATAATGTATGTCGTGCTTCACTTGAATGATATATGTCATCATAGGACTTTAGGTTTTGCAATTCATTGTACAATTATTATATTATGTAGATTATTATCGTCTTTAACAATTTATGGCATCTCTATAATAGTTATTACTCAGAGGTAAATAAAACAATGAATTCAAAGTTTCTTATCGCAGTTGTTGATTTTTCCAATCATGTTCCATGGTGAGGTATTACCCTACTTAGACCCTCCCTACCCCACCCCACCCCACCCCCCGGGATTGAGGAATAAATATGTTATGTCTACACTTCACATCAACATCAGGAACAACCTGTTTATTGTGGACATATAGGCAGCACACCTCTATGAAGGAAGTTAGGAAACTTTCTTGTACTACACAACATACTCTACTTAGACCCTCCCCACCCCTTGGAAATTCCAATCCCTCTCCATGGGGGAGGTATGGATATTTGCTGGTACTACACAATATACCCTCCTCAGACCCTCCCCACCCCTTGGAAATTCCAATATCCCTCCATGGAGGAGGTATAGATATTTTCTGGTACTACACAATATACCCTCCTCAGACCCTCCCCACCCCTTGGCAATTCCAATCCCCTCCATGGGGGAGATGTATGGATATTTTCTGGTACTATAAAGTATACCCTCCTCAGGCCCTCCCCACCCCTTGGAAATTCCAATCCCCCTCCATGGGTGAGGTATGGATATTTTCTGGTACTACACAATATACCCTCCACAGACCCTCCCCACCCCTTGGCAATTCCAATCCCCTCCATGGGGGAGATGTATGGATATTTTCTGGTACTATAAAATATACCCTCCTCAGGCCCTCCCCACCCCTTGGAAATTCCAATCCCCCTCCATGGGTGAGGTATGGATATTTTCTTGTACTACACAATATACCCTCCTCAGACCCTCCCCACCCCTTGGAAATTCCAATATCCCTCCATGGAGGAGGTATGGATATTTTCTGGTACTACACAATATTATACCCTCCTCAGACCCTCTCCACCCCTTGGAAATTCCAGTCCCCCTCCATGGGGGAGGTATGGATATTTTCTGGTACTACACAATATACCCTCCTCAGACCCTCCCCACCCCTTGCAAATTTCAATCCCCTCTTATTTGTATTTTTTAACTCTTGTTTTACTCTTTCCCTTTGAATCCTTTTGATCTGTCATTCCTTTATTCTCAACCAGTCCAGCGGTTTGCAGTAAGTTTCTTGCGCAGTTATTATAATGCTTAAATCTATCAGGTCCTAACATTAAGCCGCCATACCAACGAGTAACTACCACGATAACATTTTGTGCGCCAGTTATTTGCAGTAAGTGCAAGAGTCTCGACCCTGCGGCATTCTCACCATCATCATCACAATCTTGAATATAAGCATTCTTTTCTTCGTTATATATCCTGTATGCAATTACATTGTGTGTAGCATTTGCTATTTTCCGATTTTTCTTTAACTCAGCCAAAACTTGAAGAGCTTGATTACGAGATGAGATAGAAGCAAGATGGGCTTGGAATGTGCTTTTGCGATCACTCATTGGTTCTCCATGCATTATTTCAATGTTATTCAATTCATCATCATCATCATCATCATCATTATCATCATCATCATCATTATCATCATCATCATCATTATCCTCATCATCATTATCATCATTACAATCGAGAAGATTGAAGCTTTTCATTGTTTCAGCAATATCCAGTTCTCCATTTGTACTTGGTTCCACATCTGCAACACTAAAAGCACCTGCAAAATATTTCAAAATTAATACCAGTTACTATGGTTACCAGCCTCAAGAAGAGTAGAGTCTAYTCCATCTCTCCTTTAATTATTCAAGGTTTTTTTCTTAATTTTTTGCTTAGGTCTCTTCACAGAAACCTTACATGTTAAATTCCAATTCTATCTGTGAGTGAGCCGTACCCTGACTTAGATCAGCCCAGAGGTTGTTTCAGGGTTCGATCTGTGAGTTAGCCAT